TTGTATAGTTATTTGTGTTCAAAATATTTAAAAGACATAATGAAAGTAAGTTTTGTTTTACAGTATTAAATGTAATTATTATTAACATGATGGAACAGTCATCTGCAACACATTTAAGTAGCAACAATGACATATATAAAAATTTGTCTACTTCTTGTAATAACTTCACAAAAGCTTTTTATAAGGTAAATAAAAATTTCTTCTATATGCCTTGTAATATTGCTTTCAAATATTAGTTACGTAGATTTAAATTAACTAAAGCTTGTAACTTATAATTAATAAAATAAAAGTTATAATTAAAATAATAATGTATGTTATAGATGATTAAAATTAATATAACATTATATTACACTATGACTCTCTGATTTTAGGAAGTATCTTCTACCAATGAGGAAAATACTGTTAGTTCACCATTAAATATACATATGATATTATCTTACCTTTCCCATGGAGCAGAATCTTCAACTTTAGCTGAATTTACCAAAACGCTTTGTCACTATGACAAAGATTCAATAAAAGAAGGATATAAATTGTTAATAGCTCAGATAAATGTAAGGTTGTTAGAATTATATTAAAAATAGAAATTATTTAATGAAATAAATGTTTTATATATTTACAAGGAACTGAGCAATATTAAATTGTATATTGCAAATACAATGTACATTCAAGATGGATTTGAAGTGTTAACAGAATTTTTAACGATAGGAAAAGAGGTTTATCAATCTGAAATTTCAAAAGTTGATTTTAAACAAAATATAGATGCAGCTATAAAAATCAACACTTGGATTAAAGAGAAAACAAATAATAAAATATTTGACCTTGTATCTTCAGGTAAATTATTTTATATATGTACAATGAAACAATTATGATAATATAATTAATGTTTCTACATAGGTGACTTTAATGAAGATACAAAATTAGTAATAATAAATGCAATTTATTTTAATGGTAATTGGTTACATACATTTAATGCAAAAATGACGCAGGATAAAATATTTCATGTGTCAAGAAATGAAAAAAAACTTGTACCAACAATGTTTAATAAGTCTAAATACAATTATGGTAACATTCCTGAGTTACATGCAAAATTTATTGAAATTCCATACACGGTACGTTTACTTGTATAAATGTTGTATATCAAAAACTTACTAAATATCTTATAGAATGCAGACATTGTAATGATAATAATATTACCAAATGAAGTGGATGGTCTTTCATATTTGGAAAAGAACTTTTCATGGGAAATGCTTGCAAATACATCTCGATCTAACGACGATGTTGAATTGCATCTTCCAAAATTCAAAATTGAATTTACAGTAAATTTGGAAAATATTTTACATAAGGTATAAATAAAACATTTTATATATTCTATCATTTAACAAAATACATTTTATTTATGTTATAAATTTTAGCTTGGTTTAAGTACAATGTTTAAGCCTGATGCAAATTTTAATCGTATTTCAAATGTACCATTAAGAGTTAGTAAGGTTTTGCATAAAGCAATCATAGAAGTAAATGAAGAAGGTACTGAAGCTGCTGCTGCAACAGGTATATTTAATTTTTTTGAAAACGAAAATGCTTTTCACATACATTTTTAATGAAATCAATTCATTTTGTTTTAGCTGTTCAGTTAAGATTCCGACGGATGATAGTCGTAGATATACCACAAATATTTTTAGTTGATCGACCTTTCATGTTTATAATTAAATATAAACCATATAATATACCACTTTTTATTGGAAATGTAAAGGATATAGGAGTTGTACCACATAAAGATGAATTATAAATTTTTATTTATTGATATTAATAAGGAATAAACGTTAAGTCAAAATGCTGAACCTTTCTTGTATGCGACCACACAAAGAAAACACAATTTATAAATTAATTATTTTTTATCATTGGAAATTTTCTTTGGAAATTGCTTTACCATTATTTACTCACCGTACCAAAAGGTGGCAGAACTGTTTCTTTCTATTATAATATATATGTGGTATTGTGACAGTTGCAAGTTTCGGAATAAAATGGATTTGACAGTGTAGTGAGGAATGGTACTTATTATTGTACAATGTACATAAATTCGAATAATTAAATTAATTTAAGATAAAGGAACAGTTTGTAAAATGTCCGGTGAAATTGATATTTTCGATGACAACGAGGCGCAGTTGCCTCAAGACCTTGAAGATGATGTTGTTCAAGAAGTTTTGAAGACTGGTACCGATTTACGTCAGTATTCGAGACAAATTGAAAAAGAACTAAAAGAAGTTGAAAATAAATCTATTCAGGATTATATAAAGGAAAGCGAAAATATAGCTAGTCTTCATAATCAAATCGCTGCATGCGATAATATTTTAGAGGTTAGATTCCAATATTGTGTAAAGTATGAATCATGATGGTTCATGATGGATTATGGTTCATTAAGTTGCATTAAAGTTATAATGTCATATTTCGAAGAGATAATTTAGAAATTTCTTTGTTTATAGAAAATGGAATCTATGTTGATGAGTTTTCAATTAGATTTAGGAAGTATTAGTTCTGAAATACTTTATCTCCAACGTAAATCTGTAGCAATGAATCAACAATTATCAAATAAAACAATAATCAGAGGCCCTCTCAATCAGTTTATTGAAGATATGACAGTGTCAGAAGCTCTTATTGCGTAAGAATATAATTTACAAAAATCATTTGTTGTAACTAAAAATCAGCTTGTAACAATTTCAATATTTACAGAGGAATTATGGATTGTCCTGTGACTGAAAAAGAATTTTTAACACTACTGCAAACATTGAATCACAAAATAAATTTTGTAAAGGAGCAGAGTTTTAAGGAAGTAAAGTCATGTTTGGATGTAAAAGATATATTAGAAAAACTGAAAATAAAGGCATTAGCAAAAATCAGAACATATCTTTTAGAGCAGATTTATAAGTTCAGAAAACCAATGACAAATTATCAAGTGCCACAGAATAATATGTTAAAATATAAATTCTTTTTTGAGTTCATTCTAGCAAATGAAAGGAATGTAGCAGAAGAAATTTGTGGAGAATATATTAGCACAATGAGTAAAATATATTACTCATATTTTAAATCTTATTCTTCAAGATTAATGAAATTACAGGTAATATAATAATAAAAAAATTTTCAACAATTTACAAAGTAATGCTTGTTTAAAATACAAATTGTATAGTTTGAAGAAGGAGCTACTAAAGATGATTTGATGGGAGTTGAAGATACTGCAGGAAGAAGTATTTTTCATAAAACTACATTGAAGCACAAGGGTACTGTATTTTCTATAGGTAATAGAGGGGATGTATTAAATTCTCAGTTGGAAGCTCCTATCATAGTACCTCATACTGCAACTAAAATAAGAGTAAGTATGGAAATTGTCACTTTTGAAGTTCTTATTCAATATAGATCTTTTAGCTTAATAGCTCTTTGTTCATTTTTATTTAAAAATTTATATGCATACACTACTTTTACAATATTCATATGACAATTTAATTATTTTGTCCATACAGTATCATTATGAAGCTTTATTCAGAAGTGAACAATATGCTCTTGTAGATAATGCTTGTAGGGAATATTTATTTTTAACTGAATTTTTTAAAGTACGTGGTGTGCAAGCAATGGATATTTTTAACCAGGTAATATGCAATGGTGTTTCTTTATATTTTAATAAAGTTACTAAAAATGAATATACAGATAGTATTGTACACCTAATAAATAGGTAATGGGAAAAACGTTGAATTTGATGGTAAAAAATTTGCAATCTTTCGTGGAAGATTGCTATGATACAATTGCTTTATTCCTGTGTTTGCATTTAGTAATGCGTTATCGGTTGACTTGTCATAAAAGAGCAGTACCAGCTTTAGATAAATATTGGGATAATATGACATCAGTAATTTGGCCTAGGTATTTGTACAAATATAATATAATTTTTAATTAAAACTCACCCAAGAATTAGGACCACATTATGTAAGTTTAAAATTTCAAATTCAATTGAATTTACATGTTTAGGAATGGTAGTAGTTTATAAAATTTATTTACAGATTACACGAAGATATGCTGAGTTTAGTGCTGCAATGGTCAGTGTAGTTGAAGGATTTCCTTGTGAAGGAGCAACACAGTTACTAGCAGAGTTAAGGGAAGCTGTCCAATATTTCTTGTTAAGAATGGCAGCTACATTTACAAATAGAATTCAACAATTAGTTTTTCTTATTAATAATTATGATTTGATTCTTGGTGTATTAATGGTAAGAAATTACAATGTTATTTTAATAAATTATTATTGTAAACCCAATATTAAATTATTCTGAATATTACAATTTGTATATAATTTTATACAATAATTACATTTTTCTATAGGAAAGAACACGAGATAATTCAAAGGAGGCAGAAAGTTTCCGGGATCAATTAAATACACGTTCTTCAGAATACGTAGAAGAAATTTTAAGTCCACATTTTGGTGGTATAATACAGTTTGTCAAAGAATCAGAGATCATGATTGAGAAGGGTCAAACTGATGACTCAAAAAGGCAAGAGGGAAAAGCATTAGTTCTTGTGCAATCTTTTACAAATAACTGGAAACGGGCATTAGAAGAAATTAATCACGAAGTACTGAAATCTTTCCCCAGTTTAGTACTCGGTACGGCATTGGTTCAACGTGCAATGACGCAATTAGTGCAGTATTACCATAGATTTCACAAAATCTTACCACCAAATGCACGTACACAATTGACAAACTTTCACCATATAATGGTGGAAATGAAAAAATATAAAGCAAATTATTAGAATAAACTGAGGTACTTGATTTCTAGGTCAAATACAAATAATTATATCAGTTCTGAAAACTGAATAAATTTGAATATTATATTTGTTTTATTTATAACAATGTAAATGTTGTATATCA